ATAGGTTCAACTATATCAGTTTTTTCCATTTTTTTGTATGTATTACTATTTATCCAATCACATTCCCATGTTTCAACAAGATTAATAATGTATTTTACTGATTTTTTTATTTGCATACTTCTGTCAATTGTATTTTCAAACAAATACTTCATTGTTTTATGATTTATATTATTTATAGTTTATCTATCTTTATAGCATTTAGGACATCCATGCCAAAAAMATCCATGATATTGATAAACTGTTAATGATTTTTCATCATAACCATCTACTTTAGATCCTGCTATTATTTTTTCACCACCATTTAAAGCGTGGCAGATATTTTTGTTATTAAAATGTTGTAACCATGATATAGATTGTTTTGAATAATCTTCATTCTTTCCTTTATTTAAAATAGCTATATTATCATTTATCAAATATTTTGACCTGTAGATAGCCATACAAACACTTGCTATGGTTATATATTGAAAAGGGTCAATATTAACTGTTTCTAAAAATTGCTTTCTGAATTCTAAAGATCCTCCTCGTAAAATATCTACATCTAAATTACAGTACGCCTCTAATTCTTCTTTTAAATTAAATATATAATTTTATTTTATTTTAGTATCATACCATTTTTCAAATTCTTGTTTATTCTCTGTTTTCATTGTATATACCTATCTATCCATAATATTCTTTATCAGGCAATACACCTATATAATTTCTATTCTCTTCTGTATTAAAGAAATGTGGAAAGTAACCTTTTTTCTGTTCTTAGGTTAGGTTAGGTTAGCTTACTACTATATTGTTTCTGAATACTATTCTTTTACAATCAGTACATTTAATTATCTTAATACATACCTTAGAATGATTATCTAAGCATTCTTGATTATAACAATTCCTGTTACATTTTTCACAATATATTATTTTTTTTGTATCACATAAATGTTCAGGTTGGATACACAATTTACATACATTTTTATCTTTAACACATTTATGTTCATTTTTATTATTATATGTTGTATCACACTTTTTACAATAATAAGAAGACCCATAAAAGCCTTGCATTGAACCAATAGCATCAAAATGATTTCCATTTTCATATAAATAAATTTTGATTTCTTTATCTTCACCTTTATAAATTACAGTATTTAAATTTTCAGCACAAACAATATTTATTTGCATATCTAGTAAGCTTTCTACATTTTTAATATCAGCCAATGTAAATCCTTCTTCGTTATATTCTGTTAACATTTTACATAATTCTAAAGCTAAATTTTTTTTGAATTTTTCTACCTTTTCTCAAGTATATAATATCATTGAGTTTTAATTCATGTCCTAAAATATTATTTGTTTGAGTAAATAATGCAACAATAATAGCTTTTGAGCAACATAAATTATCATCATTTTTAATCTGAATAATATACTTCTTTTAGTATTGGAATCTGTTGATAAGTTTATTACCTATTTTATCTCCTCTTGATCCTCTTGGTATATTTACTACTTCAACTTGAAAAATGGTTTCTGTAACATCAATTTCTTCATTTGAAGTTAATAAACCAATAATTATAGTTTGTAAGTTTGTTAAAATATCCTCAGATCTCAATCCAGTATATATAGGAATTTTTATCTTTGGATTAAATAACGCAATACTTAATTTATCATCTTTTCATATGCAGAATTGTTTTTAGCAACTTTTAACATTTCATTTAAAGCTTTATCTATATAATTAATTTTGTATTTTGTATTACTTTGTTTTARATYGTTTATTAATGCTTCTTTAAAACTAATTTTATAGTTAGCTTTATATATCCTAAATCTTTTATTCGATTGTGTATTAGATTGAATTACATCTATCAACTCATAATTTTCTGGTGTTCTTTCTAGTGAACTGTTAAAATAATTTTCTTCAGTAAATAATGATTTATCTAATTTACAGAAGGGATTTTTATCTATATTTTTTAATGAGTTGTTTTCTTATTTGAATAAGCTTTTATCTAACTAACTTACAGAAGGGATTTTTATCTAACATTTTTAATGCAACTTGTTTTTTTATATTTTCTATTAAACAATCTTTTTTCATTTTACAAACATTTTTTATATCGTATTTTTTTGCTATTAACTTAAGCTCAGATACTTTCATTTTTTTTAATATAATATGATTCTGTGACTGCATTTTTTTTTTTTTATAAAAGAAATTTTTTATTATTATTTATAAAAGAAATTTTTTGTTTATTTTATTATATTATTTAATGACAAAATGTATTTTTGAGTAATATTCTCTTTGGATATATAATCCGACCTCTTTATGTGATATTTGGATAGCAAATGATTGCTATAACATCTTAAATAAATTTTTTTTCCACATTCGCATATTTTAAAATCATTATTAACTTTGGTTTTCATACAAACCTTACACCATCTTTGGTTTTTAGTAAATTCATCAGGCCTCTTRAAATCTTGACATCTTGGACATAAAAATACTTCTCCTGTTTTTAATGATTGCAATAATCCTTCATTATTTTTTATCTTTTCATAAAGACCAATAATTTTATTGTTCTTGTTTTGATCCATTGTTTATATTTTATATTTATAGAGAACATTTTTTTAATAATAATAATAATACATCTACTAGTTTTGTATTGTTTAATAGGTAAAATATAAATTTAGATTCATTTAAAAATAGTTTATATTTTTTGTAATTTTAACAGATAAGTATAGATTTTTTGTAATTTTTAACATAAAAATATAAGGTCGGTTTATTTTTAATGTTTATGTTTTGTATGATTTTTATATGATTTTTAATGTTGATAAAAAAATAAGTGTCCTYAACGTGCCCACATACTACTAACTGTAGATATAAAATATCTTAATATAATTTCTTTAATTGCCCAACCCTGTTTGTAATTACGAAAGGGGTGCTTGAGCACTTGTTTATATACGTAATGGTCGTCACTGATTTGTTTATTTCTATTTTATTTTAAGTATTCCCCAAATTTTTTCTCCAGACCCAAAAGCCATACTTTAACCGAAAGAAGAGTTGAAACTTAGAAATATATAAGTAATTTAATATGATTGTTATAAGTCATAACCCATCCATCATAATTTTAATACGTAATTTTATAACTAATATCTCAAATGTACCATGGTCAAAATGTAATTGAACTTCAATGATGGCTTTTTGTTATTACTCATTGTTGGGCACTTTAATATGTGCTTTGGTATTGACTAGGTTAATGTTCTATTCTTTTGTGAAATTCGATTCAACACATAAACATTAGCTTCTAGTTTCTACACACTACACCACTGAAAACTATTAATTTGATATGTAACAAGATTTTTTTTATCGATATATGTACTAATATCGATGTTTATCGATACTCAAATTACGATTTTTATCGTGATCGATGATAATGAGTTTTTATATCGATATTTAAAATATCGCACCTTTGGTCGATATTGACATCCCTAATTCAAATAAACTAATGGACTTAATTGAAAATAATTATAATTTTAAATATAATTTAATCCCGCACTGATAACAATAATATGACGATAACACGATAAAAAGATGCTGGCGCGAACGGCTCGTATTCGTAGTCGGAGTGGTATCACCTTATCATCTCTACATCGTCACTAAGTTGTAGACCTAACCTGTATTCCCGATTTCAACGATTTGCCGCGTGTAATCCGAACTGTAACGTCCATCCGTCCGTATGCCGTAGCCGTATCGTTAGGGAGAAACACGTTACCTATCCCGCGTCCTCGCGTCCTGTACTCACGCCCACGTTGTCCGCTATTACCGCTTTCCGGTGCAATTGACAGTATTGCTTTTCGTGCGCACATTTCGTCACATTGCGGTGTTCTTGCGTCAACCGGCTGGTCAGTGCCTAGCGGCCACCGCGATTATCGCAAGGCAGTGAACACGTCGTCCGCGTTTGTGGTTTCGCGTCGACTGTAGCCGTGTTCGTCGGCAAAGCAATAATACTTATTGTACCTACTATAGCACACTTGCAGAAATTGTCCACGATTTTAGCGGTTTGGAAATCATAACCAGGTACTGTAGAAGCAGCACATTAATCCATTCTATCGACGCCGCACGGGTGGACATGGCGTATCACATGATGGACATTACTTCAAAAACTATGCCCAATTCTTCTGCGAGACACAAGTCATGCAATGCTACAAAATGTCTGTGTCCTTTTAAAGAAAAACGAAATTATCAAATAGAATAGTAAGTAATTTTGTTTTTAATAATTATAATTTTTGTTAGTTGATTGCAAGATTAGAAATCAAAATGATGAATTTTRATTTTAATTTCAATTTTACTTAAGTACCTTCCTACCTATATTTTTTCCCAATTTTGATTAAAATTTAAAAGTAGTATATTGATTTTATAGCTAACATTATGACTTTTATATTGCACATTATTGATAATATTTTTTTATTTACCTAATGGGGGTTCTTATTTTTCAATTTTTAATTTTTACAATTTGAATTTTGATTTCCAACTTGGTTTGARAAACCGATCTTCTTTTGTGCAGTATTGTACCTAATATGTCCAAGTTAATTAAATATTACTTATTTGTTATTATCTACATGTGAATTTGTAGACTTATAGCCTATAATTGAATAAAAATAATTTTTATTTTTAATTTTAAATTGATTTGTATTTTATTGAAATTATAAAACAATTTTTATATTTATATCTACCTATCTACCTATTTATAATATATCAATTTCAGTTTTATTTAATTTCAATTCAAATGTATATCATTACCTGAAAAGAATATTAAGTATTGATATCACTTGATTTCTTTAATGATTTTTTAGGACTTTTATTTATACTTAAAATTGATTTCAACCTAACAACAAAATTGTTGTGACAACAAATTTATAAAGGTTAATATCTACTTTAAAAAAATATATATAGGTAGGTACCTAGCTTATAAAAGTAGCAMTCATCTTATTAGCAATAGGCTGGTGGTTTCGGATGAGTTCAGTTAAGGTAAAATTTAATTATTTACCCACATAGCAAATTAACGTCTATAGTATGTACTTAAATTGTCCTACTAGGATAGTCAGGATTATCCTCAGGACTGCCAGAGGATATCCATAGAATGTCCAGATGTCCTTTTTTTTATCCTTTGGATGTCTAGCAAGGATGAACTGAGAATATACTTTCCAGATAGCAAATGAATGTCCTTAGTATGTATTTAAAGGGTCCTAGTAGGATGGTCAGAATTATCCTCAGGACTGTCAGAGGATATCCTTAGAATGTCCAGATGTTCTTTTTTTTTTTTTGATGATTTGAAAGGATGAAATGAGAATATACTTAACGTTAACACAAAATTAAGAATTTTTTAGTATAAGTACATTTGCATTTTATAGAAAAAGTACACATAACAACATCAGTATTATGTAACTGAAGAAAAAAMAATATTTAATTAAAAATGTTACTATGACAGTAATAATAATACAATAAAATAACATATATTTGATTAGTATAAAAATACACAAGTCTTACAATTATCACATATAGTCGAAGTATATATTGCCAAAGGATAATAAATATTTAAATTATGGTATTATGAATGCAATAATGCATAAATTTAAAAAAAATAGTTATAGTTCTGTATAAACAGTCAGATAAAAATTTTTAAAACAAATTTAAGAATAAGTCACATTTATATGTGGGTCATATTTATATTAATAATTCACAACCACACATCAACTTTTAATTTTGTTCCTAAAAAAAGTATTAATAATATTAATTGAAATTTCAACAACAATTAATGATGATATAAACTTTTATAATTATTTAACTTACATTTTCTACTACATGGAGATTTTGTTTTGATGACATTTGCATGRCGTAACCAGCTTTGTATTGGTTCTTGTATTTTTTTTATTGTAACTTCAGGACTGCTTTTCAATACAACTTCTAAAAATAAAATGTTATGGGACAAAAAACAAGTTAAATTACAAAAGTATTTAATATAAGTTTTTATTATATGTAATAAATGTTTGAACCAACTTTCTAAAATTGCATATAATTTTAATGAAGCAAACACTAATTTAGAAGTTTTTCCAAAAAGTTTCATTTTTGTTTCCAGTTCATTGTTTAATAGAAATCTCATAAGACTAAAAATGCTTTGTTTTTAATCACTTGATATAAGTTTTTACCGAAGTTTTTACATTTTTTTAGCCTATGAAATTAATACATTAATTATAGTTAAATATAAATTAAAGCAATTTATTAATACCAAATAATTGTTTGCAATATTGTCAGTGGTCAGCTTTTCTTCAATTACAAATAAACTAGTTTCATTCCCAATAGGGAATTGTAAAATGAATTTATCAAGTATTAAATCATTTTCTGGATGATTGTCAAAAGGAAAGTTGGTTATTTTAATTTATTTATTTGGTTATTGATTTCTTTTTGTTTGATTGAAATGTCACTTTTAAGTTGGGCAATAGATTTAATTAACCATATTTGGGTTTTGTGACTGTTAAATAGTCCTAAAATAAAATATGATTGTTTTTATACCTGATTATTAAAATTTATTTAGGAATATTTATCATAACTATTGAAATTATTTTGCAAATCGTTATCTTCTGCTACTGGCATTAAATCTGACGTGTCATCATTATTTTTAGAACCTTATAAAATTATGATAATATGAATTACAAGTTAAATAAAAATTAAAATAATTAAAATACCTGGTTCAATTTCAAAGAGTAATTGATTAATATCGARATCAATATCTTCAAATAAATTTGGGTACAACGAAGACAACTGTGGAACATTTATTCCAAGTTTTGACATCCTAAAAAATCACAAGAATGATTTAACTTATAACCATTAAATACAGCTTGGATAAATTAATAATWTACTACTTGAATAACTTGAGGTACTGAGTAAAGGTGATATTGAATCATAATTAAAAGTACCAAGACATTTTTTAATTTTTTGGGATGGTGTACCGACTGTCACTGGCTTGGTAATAGTTAAATATTGAAATTAAATAACTGTAACATCATTAAGAGGACGCTACACCCGCACGTGTGGTCTCCGTCTTACAAGTGCGTAACATTGCTAAAACTGTTTCGCGCGGTAAAGAACCGAGAAAGATAYAGTTATAACTGAAAAACAAAATTTTCAACACATAAAAAGGATAATTTTGTCTGTGCAACATCGTTTTTATTTTTTCGATATCACTTATACAAAAAAAATTCTTATTGTTTTATAATATATTAATTTTGTGGTTTTTAAGCATGAATAACTTTGTTTATAGTTCTGATATCGAAAAAATAAAAACGATATTGCACAGACAAAATTCTCCTTTTTATGTGGTGAAAATTTTGTTTCTTAGTTATGACTGTAACTTTCTCGGTTCTTTCCCGCGCGAAACAGTTTTTGCAATGTTAAGCACTTGTAAGACGAAGACAACACATGCGGGTGTAGCGTTCTCTTAATAACTACTCTAAATTGTGTGTCAGTGGCGCAACTAGGATTTTTTCAACGGGGGTGTCCGCCAGTAGCGTATACAGTATTTTCCCAATTCATTTCCAAATTCGTTAGTATATTATATACATATGACAGTTGTCACCACTACTATTAAATATTTACCTATTATATTATATTATTCAAA